CGGGGCCCGGGGCGCGGCGTGGGCCCCGAGAACTGGCTGTGAGTGGTGACACCTGCGTGCCTGCTTGGCAGGCAGCTGCTCCTGCAACTTTGAATTCTCTTCTTCTTTGTTCAGTACAGACAACCATGAGTGATCGAAAGGCAGTGATCAAGAATGCGGACATGTCAGAAGAGATGCAGCAAGACTCTGTGGAGTGTGCTACTCAGGCCTTAGAGAAGTACAACATTGAGAAGGACATTGCTGCTCACATAAAGAAGGTAAATGTTTGTAGTGTCCTCATGAAATCTATGCACATGAAAAATCAAGCAGGGAGAATGCTGCCAGGCAAGTAGCTCTAGAGAAACAAGTTTCTAGAGACACTAGATAATCAAGCTGGACTTTCTGGGTAGGCTGGTGTCCTTATGTTCCTTCCCCCACCCTTTACGTGGACTTTTCCAGGTCTTTCTGCATTTCTCCTGTAGTGCTTTCTACTTGCGCCTTTTCTGCCCCTGCCCCATTGTCCAGGTGAAAAGAGTGTGGCAGCTGACTGTCCCTGTGACAGATGAGCTGGTACAAAACACAGGGGCTCTGTGAAACCTGTTTGAGAAGTGGTTGTTTTCTGACCTTGTAATAAGAAGTGGTTTTGTGGTTTGTTTCTCTTTTTTTTTTTTTTTTTTTTTTCCCCCTCCCAACCACATGCAAGACAAACTGTTCCTGCTAATACAGAACAGATGGTTCATAGCTTCCAGTCTGTCGGATTTTCTCACTGACTCCTACTGGGAGCCTGACTGAGCTGCAAGTAGCTGAAGGGTTTGCTTGAACCGAACAAAAACTCTTGCACAGTCTCGCAAAAAGTCTCTCCCATTGACGGCTGTTAGATACTGCAGTATGTAACCACTGACAGCAATGTTTTACTCGCCGTAGACTTGTGCGCACAAGTTTATCTGAGAGTCATCACAGGCTCCTGACTTCAGTGTGTAGGAAGAACATGGTCTCGTGACTGGTATCAAGGACGTAGCGGAGAATTTTCTGTCAAAGAGTCCTTTCCGCATCCTTGTTGAAAACAACCAGTGAAGTCAAAATAATGGCTTAATCTGTATGGAGTCAGAACAAGCAGTGACTTTCTTAAAAGTTAGAGATCACAGTATGACTTTTTGGGAAAAGTTACTTCCCTAAACACATTTTTAAGCTTATTCCTGCTCAGCTTGGAAGCACTTTTTTTTTTGTCTGACTAAGCAGCAGATGAGTTAAAATGACAGATGATCCTTGCACTTAAGACCATATGCTACTCCTTAATTGCCTTCTGAAAATGATACTTGCTTACAAGTGACATATCATTGCAAAAAAACCCTGTCAGACAGTATTAGTACAAGTCTCATGAAAATGCTGAATTCCTAGTTCTCTCTTCTGCAGGAATTTGACAAGAAATACAATCCCACTTGGCACTGCATCGTGGGGAGGAACTTTGGCAGCTATGTGACTCATGAGACCAAGCACTTCATCTACTTCTACCTCGGCCAAGTCGCTATTCTTCTCTTCAAGTCTGGTTAGAACCATGGACTGTTAACTGAACCTTGTACTGGGTTACAGGACTGCACACTGACTCCAGACAGCCTCCTACCTTCAGCCTTCCTGAGGAAAGAGACCTTGATCTTCAGGTCTCTTGTTGTATTGTTAATGGTCAGGGATTTTGCTGTAGCAGCTCGTATTTTCATTGTGGCTATAAAAAAGGCAAAAGTGTCTTCCTTGTATTTATTTTCTTTAAAATGACAGCGTCTTTGCTAATAAAAGTGTCAGAACAAGTTTATCCTTTGAGTTTTCTCTCCCCTTCTGCCCCCTTGGTGCTTGCATTCCCCTCTTTATCTGTGAATGAAGGAGGAACATCCCCACCTCCATTTTTCCCCCCAAATCCACAGCATCTGCATCCTGAGCTAATCTATGAACACGTCATTAGTCAGTCACTGAGAACAACAGAAGATATTTTCCCTGAGAGAAGAGAGACTGCTTTTCAAGTCTTGGTAAGCGTATTTTCAGCTTGGACAACCTCTGGTGCAACATCTGGAGTTTAGATACATGTTGCTTTTCTGATTTCAAATGAACTGGTGAGCTAAAAGCAAGTGTCCTTTCATCTCCCAATTTTCAGAATAGATACATTTTCATACTAGTTCATTACGCAGCTGTCACTTTAGAATGTACTTACACCTTCTCCAGATTTTTTTTTTTTTTTACTCTGTATCTTACAGGGGTGCTGCAGGAGCATCTGTTCTTCAACAGTTTAGTTTAAGGAAGAGAAGGAAATACACTTATTTTTACATGGAGATACGCATCTAGTACTGACAGAAAGATTTCATATGGAGGTGAGAACATGTCATCTCCCCCCAGAACATAGTGATGGGGTTATTCTTCAGGAAAAAAGCATCTTTCTTAGAAAGGTTAAAATACTAAGGGAAAAAAAGTTGATGCAGAACTGTTTTATTTCACAAGCTTTCCATTTATATTTGAAAGAAGTAAAAGTATCACAGGAAAAATCCCTTAGAGTCCATGTGACAAAGATAGTAACAGCTTAATAAAAGTCTAATAAATCCAAGTTACTCCTCACTGGTACCGTATCCTCCTTGAAGCTTAGTAAAAACAGGAGGCATCTTATCTGAAGAGTAGTCAGTCTATTTCTGTGTCTGCATCGCTGGTAACTGAAGTTGCTTCATCTGTTAACAGTGCTCAGTTTTGGCCGAGTCCTTTACATTGTACTTGAAGGGAAATGCAAGCGTAAGAAACGTCACAGGAGTCACTTCATCTTGCAGGTTTCTTGGGAGAAAAAAGGTAGCTGATGTTCCGGGTCTGACTGCTGAGCAAGCACCTGTTGCACAAGTTCTTAAAACTCCTCTTCAATCTTGACAGCATTAAAATTCCACAGCTTTCATATTCCTCTGGAAAATTAAACTTTCTGTGTTTTGCTACACAGTGGACTCATAGTTTGAAACCTGAGTGAATGGCAACAATGCCCAAGTTTAAATTCTGATAATCCACTTTTAAAAACCCTGCATCTTCTATCATTGCCTTCAACTCCTCCTGAAAAATAATAGTTCCGTAATTGTAACAACCTGAAGGCCTATAAAGCAGCTGCCTGCAAGTTTATGCTGGGACGGTGTTTTGTGTGTTAGTGAATTCAGAGAAATACTGTCTTACCTGAGGGGGGAAACGTCGGATGCTCTCCACGAGATACTGGTAAGACTTCCAGTCACCAGCAATAACCTCACCCAGAACAGGGATAACCTGGAAACTGTATAGATCATAGAGCCTGCACAGACAGACAGCAAATGTAGATTAATACAAACAAGTTCAAAACCAACCTCCTCCAACACAAGTTGATCTATGCTATGGAGTCTGTATTTGATTTTACAGGGCACAATGAGGTGGCCTCAAAGTGTCCCCATCTCTTATTCTGGTTGAGTACAAATAAGAGAGCCTCATGACATGGCTTAAAGCGTCACCATGTGCCTACCTGGAAAGAAGAGGGTTGCTGACGTGACTAAATTCGAGGCAGAGAAATCTTCCTCCGGGTTTCAGCACACGGTAAGCCTCCTGAAGCGCCTGAGACATAACAGATGTGGTAAGTTTGTTTCTGTAGAACAGCACCCGCCTATTACCACGTTATGTGATGGCAACTCAGTGATGAACTGAGGGGAGTAAAGAGAATCCTGATTGGCAGTCTCCAAAATGTACTTGTGGAGAAGCATCCCAAGACAAATACAAAACCGCCCTCCAAACAAACAACAAAACCAAACCAGAAAAACTCTTGCTGTTACATAAATAGATTTATACCAGGCTTTGTGTCGAAACTATGATGTCAGGTTTGCAATTTCTCTTCTTTTTCCCTATTCTTAGTTGATGAATGTTTGCCAGCACAGTTCTTGTAATTACAGACCAAACCCAAAAGGGAGAAGGTGACTCAGCTACAAGAAACTGAAAGTGAAAAGAAGGCATGATAGGTTTCGGTTTTTTAATCAAAGAAAAGATTTTACTCAGCTGTGAGGCACACCCAAAGGATCAAAAAAGAAATGATACTGGGTTTTGGATGAGCAATGTGTGAGAACAGGGACGAAACCTTTGGCTACTTTCAAAATTCTATCCTATATGCAAAATAAAACACCTAAGAAAAACCAAGGAAAAATTCTGTTTACAACTGTGTATTTTTTATACAGGAGCACAGCAGAGCTGTATTCAAGAACCTCTGCAGGTTTTTTATCTGCTTGGCTTCAACTGTTATGTTCCTAAGGGATAAAATATAAACACGATGGGAGCTCTGCGAAACAACTGGAGGCTTGGACATGTTTTGCATCAGGTCTCCAGGGAGCTATGCTACCGGACTGCTGTATCCATGAAGGCAAAGAGCCTGTGCTTCAGAAGGGTGCAGACGAAGCATGGTGAAAAGCCATCCACGTGAAGAGAAGTTCAAAAGGCATACAGTTCAAGGTGGTTTGGATCCAAATGCTGCACCTTCCACAGGAGTATTGCCAAGGTTGTACCACACTCCTCCAAAACACAGCTAGTCCAGCTAGACAGGTGATCTAACCTATCTGCACCCTCAAGACAGCCAGCCATTCTTGAAAGACAACATATCCTTTGCTTGTAACAAAGGATACTACTTACCCTAATTAAAATCATACTCATTCTTCATGGGAAACTCTAATACCAGACAGTGTAAAGACGCTGAACAGCAGTGGGCTGAGTGGCTTAGTTCAACGGCAGTGGTGGCAGCAGCCTACTGCTTCCCACTTTCTGCTCTGGGAGATCTGCTGGCTCAGGCAGGGAAACAGAATGGGGCAGGAAGCGCTGGAGCCACTGCGGGTGCGATATAGATCAGGTGCTTCAGGAAGATTTGAGACATGCAGACTGACTGCACTGTGTGTGTGCATATCCAGTCATATCACAGGTCAGAAGGTGGGGAGCAACTGTAGCATTCAGCCCTTTTTGCCTTAGGAAGAGATTGTGTGGCTTGCCATGCTGGAAGGACTGGGCGCAACTAGTATAAATTTAACTTTTTATGACAAAGGTGGGGCATTTAATTGCATTCTTCATTCAAACAAGATGCACACTACATGCCACTTATTTCAAATGTTTCAGGAGTAGACAACGATGTTCCTTTATCCAAAGGAGTTCCTCCTTTGCTTTCTCCGCTAGAATAAAAAACCTCAGGTGAACTGCAATGACCCCATGTCAGGATACACTACAGCAACTTACCAAATCAATACGAGTTACATTTCGGATTCCAAAGGCGATTGTGTAAACATCAAACTTATCATCATCAAAGGGCAACTCTTCAGCATTCCCAAGTACCCAGGACAAGCCTGTAGTAAAAGCCAAGGACACAGAATTGAACTTGGACTGCTCCAGAAAGACTAGAACTTATCTATTCCAGAAGGAAATGATTATTAGTAAAGTGATATTTAAAACTAATACTCCAAGTTTGCATTTTTGTTGGCAGAAACTGGTCTATACTCACAAACCTTTCAAGGCCCTGTACTGTACCGCTGTCTTTCAAGCAAAGTAGTTAATTTTGCAGATCAGCCAAAACATTCTTCTACATATACACGCATGTTGTGCTCACAGTGCCTTAGTCTGCTTTCACCCAAATCTTGCATCGTAGTGGGAAGCAACTGACTTTCCAAAAACTGGCTGCCATTTGTTTGTAGCAAAGTTGCAAAAAGAGAATCTCTTCTCAGAGAGTAACTATAAACAGTGATTAATGTCTTGCCATGCAACTATGGCCGAAACACTTAAAATACTTTGCTAGGAAGCTTCCATAGATTGAGGAACATGAAAAGCCACACTCCCTCCACCAGCACTATCATCCTGTTGCAGCTGTGTTTTGCTTCCCAAACCCCAGCGGATCAAGGCCGTATCTATCTGTGGAGCGTGGATGTCCAGGTTATTGGTACCAAAAATAAGACTGCTCAATTTAGAATTAATAGTTCTCAGAGTCAGTGTTTTTGGTGACTCAAATGCAAACCAAAAAAACTTAGAGAAAAAAACAGGAGTCTTTTGCAAGACATCGGCAGTTTTAAAGGGCACTATGCTAGAAAGCAATGTGGAGTAGAGCAAAACACAGCAGACAATACCACTTGTTGCCACAAGACATTCAAATTTCATATTTACAAAATATATATATTTATAGTTTTAGAAAGTATGTACGCAAAGCAGCATGCAATTAAAGCAGCAATTATTAGTGTTATTTAAACATAGACAGTTTGAAAAGACACATAAGAATTAAGCATCAAGAAAAGGTTTTGAGCAACAGGAAAACTGCCCCCCAGAATACACTGTGGTAAAATCACGGGTCAGGAGTTTTTAAGTGGATACCTAAAGGGGGCTGTTGGTGTCCAACAAGAGGAACTGGGGCACATGCAGTGCAGCCTACCACGCCTGCTGGCCAACATGCACAATCAGCAATGGTGCAACACGTGCTTCTTTTCGCCATGCACAGCCCCCACTGTTGGTGAATGTACATAGGAAAATAGCAAAAGAAAACTCTGCCCTCACAATTTTAAGAAAAACAATTTTAGACCTCAGACAATCAACAGAAAAGCAAGCTCAGAAATGAGGTTACTACAACAGGGAGGAATTGCATGAAAACCAAAAGGTAGGACATATTAGATGAGTATGTGCTAAACAAGGGAGTGAAAGAGAGCAAAAAGTCAGAACTGGGGCACAGTGGGGCATAATGCAGCCCTGGCAACACGAAGACAGTTGGGCTTCCACAGCTATGATGTACAGAGGAAGAAAATTAAAACTGTAAATACTTATTTTGAGAATTTGATGTCACAAAAATACCTACAAAGTGCAGCCAATTAAACAAAGTGCTTTATAGCAGCTGGGAGGCAGCATCAAGCTTTATTTCGGATCCTAAGCTACAGTCATAAAGCTTTCATACTTAGAATGTTGGTACAGTTCAGGTTTTCTCAAACTACGCATAAAAAGAGCTCTGGATAGGCTTGCAAGCTACTCAGGTAAGCATGATGCATGCAGTCTGCCAGAGCTGGAACAACCAATGCTTTCACCATTAGTTTGTTTTTTAAAGAAAAGGGAGAGGCAGGCAGGCAAAGGCCTGGGGTAACCTACCAGCAGGGAGCAGCTGAGCGAACCTATGCCAGCAGCTTATCTTTCAGCCCCTTTGTGCTTCTGAGCTGCTCTGTATATGTCCTTCAGCCTACACGATTTGTAGGCTGAAGCCCCACTGGGGGTGTGGGAGTAGGGCACAGTGAAAGGACATGCAGGAGATCTCATAACACACAGAGGCTGCCCAGGGCATACCTAATGGTGGCACCCAGGCAAACAAAGTTTGGGAACCTCCTGGTATACCTTACATAGCTAAAATATTTGCCAAATATCTGTAAATGAAGAGAGGATAAACAACTATCATACAAACGCTGAGCCACAAGCAGGACTTCTTTCTCTATGTCTTACTTCTTAAAATCAGGCTTTTCAATCAGGATTGGCGTGGTCCCCAACAAATTCTAGATATCAGTGAATTAATCCATTGACCTGCAAACTAACATTTAATCTTCAATTAAACTTCAGCTTCTCTGAGAATTATTAGCATATGCTCTAACTGTGGAAAGCATTACATGTTCACAATATCCTTTAGCTCTTGCATTTTTTATTTGCTGCCTTGATTATTAAAATACCTATTACAAGATCTTTAGCGTAATCATTTTAGGGCTGAGCTCTTTTGCATTATCTGCCTTAGTAAAATCAGATTTGTTAGCACAGCTGTAAACAGCAGGTTTAGATTATTTAACCAATTTTGAAGGATAGCTGGCTATCAGACCTCATGGACACTTCCATATATGCATTTCTGAAAGTTCAAGTATTATTCAAGAGGATCACTGTACATCTGAACAACACACTACATACATGCTCACTGAAAAAGTAACTCAACATCGGCAAATATGCAAGCACACAGCTATAGTATACACCATGTCTATATCATGTATACTGTAATCCTGAAGTGGTGATTACCTGATAACTATCATGCATCAAATTCTTGCTATCAGGCATGCTACTGAAATGGTACAATGCATGACTTACCTTCAGAGTAGCCAAGATGCTGTGCTTTCTGCTTCCCAACCTTTAACATTTCTTTGTTAATGTCACAGACCACCACTTGGGAATCCCCTAGTGACTTAAATTTGTCTTCCTGATAACTCTCAGAAATTTCCTGCCATGATAAATTCTGATGGTGCTTAAGCTTCCGTTGGAGCTGGCGTTCACGTACAGAGCGAACATAATTAATAAACCGAAAGGCAATATCACCTGCATTTGTTTTAAAAGAAAGATACATGTTTTGGCATGTTTCTTGACTCCAGGAAATTGGAAACATAAGGCTCTGAGCATCAAACTGAGTTAATTTTTTTCTCTCTCTCTATATAAAAATATACCCACCCACCCCAGTACAGAGAGACAAAGAGAGTATGTGTGTGTGTGTGTGTGTGTACATACATATAAAAATATGTCATGGGAACATATTAAATGCAAAGAGTCCATGACTTCCTACAACTGGAAAGTTTTCCATAACATGACGGCAGTACTGTAACACTTTCAGAACCTTAGAGCAAGCTATTACAAAACACAAGTAAGTTAGCTCTCAACCCTTCTCTGCGAAAATCAAGTAAATGCTTCACTAGTTTTAAAGACAGGGAACTGAGGGGAAAAAAAAAAAGGCTAGGCAACTTAATTCTGAGCAGACTTAAACTGTTCAAAAACAGCGTGGCATTGTCATGTGGAACTCACCAAAATTATTTACCTGTTCCTCCAGCAACATCAAGAAGAAGTGTTCCTGGGGAAGGGTTCATTTTATGCATGAGGATATCCTTCCACACTCGATGGATCCCTAGAGTCATTGAATCATTCATTACATCATATTTCTTGGCCACACTTTCAAAGACCTGGTAAACTACAAAGAAAGGACACAAGAATGAGATGCAATTTACTTTAAAATGCTCCTGTGGAACTAAAATGTGTCTTTTATTGCCTCGTGGAGGTCTGCCACCATGTGTAACTGAAAAAAACCCACCTGAAAACTCCTTACAAAAAATATGATCGAATCCTACTGAGCTTGTTGCCTGACAAACGTCTCTTTGGAGAAACACAGCCTCTTCCCGTTACCCTGCCGGAGCCGAGGGGAAAAAATCGAGAGGCGTAACACTGCTACTATTTACCGAGGCTCCCGGTAACGTCCCAAACCAAGGGCTCAGCTCCAAACACATCTCCAACACCCCTTCATCCCACAGCCGACGCGCGCCGGCTGCCCCGGAGCCCCGTTAGGTCCCAGTCCGCCCTCCCCCGGGGCGCCGCACGGCTCCACAGCGGACCCCGCCCCCGCCCTCACTTTTCTCCCTCCTCTCCG